TCCCCGAATCCGCCCCCTGATCCTGATCAGTCGAGTCCCACCTCCAGTAAAATTTCATGGAATCAGTGGAGAGGCTTTTGCATAATCCTGCTACTTAACAAACAAACACACACTCAGAGGAAAACACGACATCCGCCAGAGGTGGAAACACAGAGACGAGTATCGTGTCGTCTTGATTATTCTTATTTTGTTTCTGTGCAGTGCTAAATAAAGATTCAAATTCAAATCCTTATCCAGATCTGCACAAACGACAGAAGCACTTTACAGACGATTTTATTTCATGAACATCTGCGCGAATTATTGAGAAACACCAAATCTCTCAACGTTAAATCAAGACGAACTAAATTCCTCCACTTTGTTTTTGGTGAATATAAACTGGAGCGAAGGTAAAGAGGCACAAACAGGGTCAGAGGGAACTTTAACAAAAAACTCTGAGCTTCGAAAACTGTGAGATGAGTCAAGGTTGTGAGATGAGTCGAGTTCAGACCGAAATAAACTGATGACACAGACGAAATGTTCTTTTTCAGTTCCGGATGAGTCTCAATAAGATTTACATTCGACTAACTAGACACGACCGTGACCAACAGTTTGTGTCCTGCCCCGATAATGAAGTCAAACGTCTCTTTTAAATCTCCTCGTTGTTGTTTGGTTAATTTTAGAATCCGCTCGTCGTGTTCTCACCTGTTCAGCAGCTGCTGCATGAAGTTGTCCGAGCGCGCTCCCCTGTACATGACCGCCAGCTGTCCCTGAGCCGGGTCCATCACCACCTCGCAGGAGTGACCCCGGCCCGACCTCTCCACGTACGCCCTCTCCTCCTCCAGGGCCCGACGCAGCCCCTCCGCCTTCTCCATCAGGGTGGAGATGTTCAGACCCTCCACGCCCTCTTTACACCTGGTGGCCATTTTCACCGAGTCCCTGCCGACCGACGGGATGTTTATCTTCCACTCCTTCTTCTCGTCCTTCGCTTTGGTGGCGTCGGCCTTTCGGCTCAGCGCGGGCAGTTTGCTCTTCTTCAGGCCGAACCAGCTGGCGATGCCGTTGGAGGCCTTCTGCTTGACCTCGGTGCTCTGCCCTCCTCTGTCCTGCTCCTGAAGCTTCAGCACGTTCTCCTCGATGCCCTTCATCACCTTCTGCTCGATGGCCGACTGCGGGCAGGGCACCGGCTGCGAGGGCTTCTCCCCCTCCGAGGTCGGGGGTCTGGGAGGAGGCGGCGGGAGGCTGTCCCCATACATGGGATTCTTTTTCCCTTTCCCGCTGATCTTGGTCCTCTCTTCTGATTTGGACGAGTAGCGTGGGGCCTCTGGGGGCTTCCCCCCTCGGTGGACAGACGGGCCCTGGCAAGGTTTGGACGGCGACTTCGGGGGGATTTTGTTGGGGCTGCTGTTACTGTGAGGACCAGGTTTAACGTTATACCCCAGATTCAAGGAGCCGGGACACTTGATGTTGTTGCGTAGAACCTGCGGAGCGTCTGCGTTGGGGGACGGCAGACCGATTCTGCTCTTGGGTCCTTCGGTCTTCATCACACACAGCTCTGGTTTAACCACAGCCGGAGCAGGAGGCTGAGGTTTAACGGCCTGATCGTAGAGCTGAGACGACCCCGGATACTTCAAACCGACGCCTCCAGCTTTAGGTTTACTATCCAGAGAGTCTGTGTACTTCGAATGTCTCTGCTCCTCTTTGAGTTGCTCCACCGGCCTCTCCCCCGTCTTACTCCGCTCCTCGCCGTAGGAAGCGTCGCCCGCTGTGTCGACCGGACGGAGGCCGACCTGTAGATCCTCAGAGCTCCTCAGCTTCCCCAGGGCAGCCAGCCTGTCTTTGAAAGCATGGTGACTGGAGTCAGCCTGGGATCTCGCCGCCCCGGCCGCGGGCCTCTTGGGGATAGAAGAGGAGTCGCTCCTCCTGGCCGGAGGAGGAGGCGGCTGCTGAGCGACCTCCGAGCTCGGCACGGGGACCTCCCTTATGTCAGGCTGCGGTTTCTCTCTGGCTCGTGAGTAGTTGGCTCTGCCCTGAGCTTTACTGAGGGCGGATGAGTTGGGCAGGCTGTGATGGTTCACCCACACCGGGCTGTCTGAATCCTCTTCATCGTCCGACGTGGACTCCGACGTGGAGGAGGAAGACTGCTTTCGCTGAGGGGGGGGATTCATTGCGCTCTCTGGGAGCGATTTCACGAGCTTCCTCTCGCCGCCGTTAGCCTTCGCTTGCGATGGAAGAGTGGTTCTTTTCTCGAGGCCCTGGGTTGGTTCCTCCTCCCTGGCGTTGGTAGACAAATCACAGACATTTTCATAATGAGGGACCCTCTGGGAGACTTTGGGTGAGGAAGAGGAGGCGGAGGAAGGTGTGCTCATCTTTGAGTTAGCGCTGGCTTTAGGTGCAGACAGGCTGCTGTAGCTTATTTCCTTAGCGGGCGAGGAGCAGACGTCTTCAGGCTGCGGAGGGGAGGTGGGTGCCGAGTGTGTGGCGGGGTAGGACTCAGACCTGCATGGAGGCGGAGGGGGCTGCCTGCACCTCTCTGTGGTGGTGGCTCGGCGCGTGGGAACAGGGGAGTGGTACACCTCGTAGTTGTTGGTGCGACAGGGGATCCTGGAGTTGCGGGTGAGCTGGGGGCTCAGACGGACGGCAGCGGTTGAAGCCTGAGACTTCTCCCCGATCGAGGGAATCTTTAAAAACTTGAGCAGTTTGGACGGGGAGTTGATGGCGGCGGCTTTGACGTCGCTGAGGCAGGAGGGGCTGGGGCTGACGGAGGCACCGGCTCTCACAGAGGAGGCCTCCGGATCCACGCCGTCTTTCTCTGCGAAGGAGGAGGGGTCATTCGTGTTGTTGTTGATGGAGGAAAGCGCCAGACCATTCAGAACGCCGTCACTCATTTCCATGTCACAGTGGGAGATTTCCTTCACAGACGTTTGCAGGTGGGTCGAGGGACAGAAACCGGTGAGCTCCTCTGAGGCGTTGAGACGACTCTCCGCTGAATTATCCTCCTGCTCCGCCCCCATCACCTCCAGACTCTGATCCGCTGCCTCTGGGGCCGACGGGTGGGCGGAGGCGCCTGCTGGTTGCTGGTGGGCTTCATTCTTGGTGCTTTGTTTGGACGGGGGAACAGACTTACTGTAACATTCGCTCGTAGTAGCCGCAGGAACTACATGGCTCTGGGTGGCGGAGTTGGGTTTTGAAGGACTACAGACGTGGTTGCATGGCTTCGGAGGAGCGTCGGGGCTCCGCTTGCAGTGTAAACAGCAGGTGTTCCCTCCCTCGCACTTCACCGCCCCGTCGCCGTTGACATGCGGGTGTGCGTCGGCGTCAGAGCAGGAGCAGCGGCAGTGCGTGTGGAGGGATTTGCACTGTAAGGGAAGAGGGTCTGCGGTGGCCAGAACCGCCTCCGTGGACATGAGCACTTGGCTGTAGTCGCAGAAAGACAAGCTCGCGGTGGACGGGTGGAACTTCAGAGGGTCGGTCTCCTCCATCTTGCGCAGGACCTCCAGGATGTGTGCTTTCTTCTTGAAGAAGGGAGACAGGGCCTCCATGGAGGCGGCGGGGCCACGGGGGCCCGGGGAGGCATGTTGTGTGCGGTAGCCATTTCCCTGCGGAGAGAAAAACGATCTTTATCAACGCGCAATTCATCGAGACCTTTGAGTGCATGCGTACAGGAAGTGAGTGCGGGGGGGGGGGGGGGAGATTAGCAGCAGAGGTCTTGTTTTAAAGAACAGTTGAAATGTCAGCGTGCTGTGACGTCACAGACGGACAGAGTCACTGAGGGATGATCACCTTGGCTTGTGCTTCAGTCTGTGCAGGCTCCACCTGTTTGGCGGAGTCGTTGTGCAGCTGTGCATTGTATTCTGGGAGGGGTCCCGCGTGCACCTGAAACAGGAGATTCACGAGGTAATGACACTGAATACACCGAGAGGCCATTTTATACACGGAGCTACATTGTCCCGACAACTGCGGGGACAGAAAAGACCGAGAGTGAAATGATTAAAAATCACACACACACACACACACACACACACACACACACACGGCTCCTCAGGCTGACTCATTCCTGAACCCTCGCACAGGAAGTGTGTTACCTGGTAGTGAGCGGCCGGGTGGTTGGGCAGTTTCTGCTGAAAAAGCTCACACAGCGCTCGGTTCTGTCTCTCCAGGTCAAACACCAACATCTTCAGCTTGATGCACTCCTCCCTCAGATCCTGTTCAGGGACAGACGGGGCGGTGAGACAACAGACGCAGCTCAGTCTGTGACTCCACAGTAAAGAAATCCACACACACACTCCGCACAACGTTACCTTCTGATTGAGCAGAGCCTGGACCACGTGGTTGGCCACCTGAAAACACGAGAGAGCGTTTCATACACTGACGGAGCTGTGCTGAATTTATTTATATATATATATTGAACAACATGACGCTCACCTCGTCCAAACATCGCTCGTACGCTTCTCTCTGACTCTCATTCGCCAAAACCAGAGCAGAGTTCTCGGCCTGTGATGAGAAAAAAAAAAGAAAAACAAACACGGCAGATAAAGAGATTAGTTCATGTCGTGTTTCAGATTCTTCAGACAGAAGAGACGTTTCTAAAACGGGGATCAGTCTGAGTTGTCTTCTCTTCTTTTTTGTGACTTTCTATTTTGAATGTTTTAGATCTGCAGGGCTGCAGAGAGAAAACAGAGAACAAAGAAAGGAGAAAATCTATTTTAAGATTTTAGATTCACACACAGAACTTCCTGTGTTTCGTTGGGTAAATAATCACAGTTTCAGAATCATGAATCTCACGTAAATCAAATAATAAAAAAAATTCACCAACATAAAAAACTAAATGAATCCTAATAAACAAAGATTTAAAAAAGGAACATTTGATATATTAAATCATAAAAATGTATGTTGACCATTATAAGAGTTTTTAGTGGGTTAAATGTTTTATATTTTTCATTTCAGATGTCAAAGCCTGTTTAAAGGGGACAGAGGCTGTAAAGTAGGAAATGAAGTTACAGGAGATAATTTCAGTATTAAATTCATGAAGTCGTATTAATAAGGTGTTTTATATTTTACAGAATCAAATCTTCTCTTCAGTTTGCTTCTCTTTCATGTCTGTGGTTTTCTCACCTCCAGTTCTCGGAGTCGGTCCACGAGCTCGCTGCTGTTGTCCTCCAGGTACGACTCCACGTCCGCCTCCTCGCCCTCCTCGTCCGAGCCGAAGTCCTCGTCGCACATTCTCTGTTCAGTCTCGTCAGACATTGTTCGCATCTGCAACACAGGAGGTGAAAGTGTCACAGAGAGCAACGCTGGCGTCTGCAAGCGACGCAGGAAACTAACCATCACCAGAGCTTCCTCTATTTCTTTAGAACCGTGTGTTCATTTGTCTGAGCAGAGACACGACTGTGTCTGTTATCCGCAGGAGACGCTCTTCATTCAAATCACACGGTGTTTGCATCAGATTTGGATCAAACTGTTTCACTTTGGTGATTTTCTCCTCCTGAGTAAATTCACTTCATCAGAGCTTGACGTCAATAATTAAAAAAAAAACAATATTAAACAATGGAAAAAGGTTAAAATCACAAATAAGAAACGAGGTTGGAGACTCACAACTAAACACGACAGATGGGAAACACAGATTATGAAGAGCGAGTACGACACAATAAATAAAATGAAGAAGTTTATCAGACAAGTTGACAAAAGGTCCCACAGGTTTAGGGATCAATCGGTAATCGGCTGTGTTTGACGAAGAGCAAAACTAATTCACCCTGGAACCTTGAAGGGATTTTTTTAATGTCAGTTGGATTAACCTGATGAATAATGAGAATAAACCCGACGGGATGAGTCAGGAATAAATGAGGTCGGCGACAAAACAGGAGTCCAAGATTCAGCAGCAGACGTCAAAAGGACACAAGAAGGTTTGAACTCATATTCACCATCTCACCTCACTGACATGTGGAGATCACTCATGAACATCAAATAAACACACAATGTAAAAACCGTCAACACGACTCACTGGCTTCTTCCCTGAACTCAAACACGAGTCGGCAGGAACACAAATCTACGTACAATATACATTTTTAAAAGTACTGGTAACCCTGATGTGAACGTTTTTACCTTCATCTCGCTCCGTTTACAAATCAGTCACACAAACAGCCACAGGATTCGGTCTCCGAGCCGCTCCGGGGTTTGCTCCTCATCACGCAACACACACACGAGCCTGTGTCCATAATTCTCTGCCTTAGATCAGAGGCTTCAACAAATCCACAGATCAGACCGCAGCTCCACGCTGAGCTCACAGGCGGCTGGAGCCTGGCAGCACGGTGCCCTGCAGGGCGAGGAGCGGTCTGGTGGGCACGGCTCCAGATGTGTCTCAGAGTGTGTGTGTGAGTGAGTGTGTGTGCGTGTGTGTGTGGATGGTCAGAGCCGAACAGTGGACGTCGACGTGGACCCAGATCACGGTCACGTCTTAAGGAGTCATTAGAGCGGATGAGAGGAGGCTGATTCTGTGGCTGGAGGCCAATCAGGAACTAGCACAGTTTCCTGCAGCGTTAAAGCTGACAGGTGACACACACACACAGACACACACACAGACACACACACACAGACACACACACACAGACACACACACAGACACACACACACACAGACACACACAGACACACACAGACACACACACAGACACACACACACACACACACACACACAGACACACACAGACACACAAACACACACACAGTGTAGTTCATGTGTCGGGTGTCTACTTTGTTTTTTAACTGAGCTTCTTGTTTATAAAACTGAAAAATTCATAAATAAATCGTAAAATAAGAAAAAGCATGAAAATATTTACAAGCCTGGAATTATTCATCGAGAATATTTTACTGATTTAAATGTTTTTCAATCAAAGATCTTATGCGACTGTTAATAAAACTTTACACACGGTTTATTAAGCCATGTATAATATTATAACGTCATAAATCTTAATGGAAGAAGATGCACACATCTTGATCTCCTCCTGTGGGCCGGAATTCGTTTTTGCATGAATTCTGCATCGATAAAACTTTTATTTATCATTCAATAAATGTTTGTATAATTCTTTTTAAAGTAAATCCATCAATCAAAGACTGATACAAACAAAGAGGGTTGAAGGACGAGTCTGGTGATAATCAATATTTTGTTTTCAATTATAAAGTAATTACTCAAAAAGACCCAGAAGATGAATTGATCCAACAAACAACAGCGGTTTGTGTAACCAGAGTCTGATCTGTCGTTGTTCTGAACCACAGAGCTGCACTGTCGTCCGAGAACCAAACACATCAATGAGCTGTTACACTGAGTGACACACACACACACACACATTCATCTTGACTCCCACAAACACCATCGTGCTGCTGGAAATTCTCACATGAGCATCAAATATGTATGAATCCACAGCTGAAAATAGTCCCAACAAACGCAGCACTTTAAAACTACAGTGTCCAGCTCCTCCAGCTCCTTCTGCTCCTCCTGCTCCTCCTGCTCCTCCAGGAAATGATTCACACACGTTGAAGTGTCGTACACTAGCCCGTTAATAAACACAATCACATAGTAAGTTGATGTGGTGAACTGCTGCTGCTCGCTCACTCATCCAGCTGTGACAGATTCAACGCTATCATTCATTCTGAGTCGCTCGTCTGAACATCTGGTGAACGTTGGGTCGAGCGTTCACCTCGTATTTTCGGGGTCTCAACCGCCTCCCGGGGGAACAATCCGGCTCTCAAGCTGCCAGACGCGCCGCCGTGTTCATCAACGGAGTTTCCGGTTGTGTCCGTCGGCCTCTGAGAGCAGAAGTGTGCAAACAGCTGGGAACAGCTCTGGTGAAGGTGCAGCCTGTAAAACCCACAGCACGAGCTCCCAGATGTTGAAAAGCTCAGTGGAGCTGCGGAGCTGCAGGGTCGGGTGATAAATCTCTGCGGCTTCATCACCACAAGTGACCCCCCCCCCCCCCCTCTCTCACATGATCCATTGTTTGTGTAGAAAACTACTGATTACAGCCGCTTTAAAGATTCATGTTCTCAGCAGGGACGAACAGGCTCCGGGCTGAGAACCACGGGGAAGAGAGAAAATACTGAGACAACAGAACAACGCACTGTTACTGCTTCATCGTTTACAACAAGAGGAGAGAAGACGTGACCGGAAAATTCATCTGCAACTATTTTAATAAATGAATGTGAGCTTTTACTCCTGGTTTTATCTCATACAGTAGTGAAGTGGAACTGCTGAGGACATCTTCTCTGTTTATTCTGTAAAGTAGGGTTTGTCTTTGAACGGCTGATTGACCCATATCATCTGCCAGCCGCTCTAATAAACAATACCGACCTAAATATGTACGCAGCACGTTCACTCGGACCAGAAGCCACTGCTGGTGAACGTTCAATAGCTTGTGGGGGAGTCAGCGGAGACAGTCAGGCCTCGTGTAACCGGAGCTGTTTGCAGAGCGTTTACAGGAAGATTATTGAACATCATCGCTCTGTGGATTGTGAAACTCTCACTCACGAACCTGCGCAGCAGCATCCGACGCGTAGGGAGCTTATTGAGCTGCGTCCGACTGAACACGGTCCAATCTGCACGTGTAATGGACGGATGATCGATGAGGCCCTTCTAAGAACGGAAGCAGATATTAGTCGTCCATTTGACCTGGGACCAGCGATACTGACTCGTTAGAAAAAAAAGCAGCTTTGGTCTTCACTAATGCACGTTACAGCTCGGGGCAGCAGCGCTGAGAAACAGGCCCTCGTCTCTCTGTGCGTTCGCTAACGCTCGCACTGGAAATTACAGCGTGGAGCAAAAGACAACAAGAGTGATTCTAAATATAACGTGAACATGTGGTGCTGTGGTTTCGTTTGATGTGCAGAGCTTCACTGAAAACGCCACAAGAAAAAAAAAAAAAGAATCTCTCAAGACTAAAAATTGTCTCTCTAAAAATACCCAGAATCCAACAGGCCTTCACGTCCAAGACGACCTTCTATTGACGACCAATCACAGAAGCCATTGACCGGCTGCTACTTCCCCCTCTCAGATCCTCTGAGGTCGATACCGAACACCGAGAGGCAGAGCTCGGGTTTTTTTAAGGAGCCACATTTCTGAGACGAACTCCCAGAAGTCTCAGTTCTTCAGTTTCCGTCTGTTTGCTTTTAGTTTCATTCAATTTGGGACAATTCATTTATATTTGGCTGATTTAATTTCCCTGTTTTATCAGTTTTAGTCCATTTGAGCCGACGTTTGTGATTCTTCACGTGAAAAAACAACGGACGAGGGAGAGAAAACACTGCTGGCTGCTTTGTAAGCTGCAGCTTTGTTATCACGATGGTGGTGAGCGTCCCGGGCCGGTGCACTCAGAGGCTCATTGACCGGGCAGAGCAGAGAGCGTCCCCAGAGGAGCTGCAGTGCCAGGGAGCTCCCTCCCTCCGCCGAGCTCAGCTGGCAGACTCACAACCGCTGGTGCCGTCAGCGCCCGACAGCGAGAAGACACGAGGGGAATGCAAACAGAGCTAATGCTGCTGGTGTGGCCTCGCTGCCTGGCAGCCGCACTGCAACAACACTTCATCACAAGTGAAGGCCTGACGCCGAGGAGAAGAATCTGAAATACGTCTTGAAAATATTAAAAGTGCTGAAAAGACTCGTGTAGAATTTTACATCGTATCGTTGGCTCCACCGAGGAGGTTCTGTTTTCAAAATAATATTTACGCGTACGAGACATCACGCTGGACGATCGCTCACAACTGTCACTCGACAGACGATCAATGACATCAGAAAACAATCATTAGACGCAGCAACGCACACGTTACCATCACAGGGTGAATCCACACATAACAACCATGTCCTTCAGATCAAATGAAATGAAAACCGTTTTCTCTCCTTTCTCGTGAAAGTGAGGAGATGAGCCAGAGAACACGAGCCACGGCACAAACACGTGAGGAGGTCAAAGTCAGCAGGACAAGGTTTTTTGTTTTGTGTCTGAAAATCCAACCCTTCTCAAAAAACACGGCCACCGAGTCTGACGTTGCCAAGTGAAAACAAAGTGCAGCTTAAAGTTCCCGTCCCAGAACAAAACAGGGAGGATCACGTGTTGGCCTCCGAGCCCAGCGAGCATGTGGTGCTTTTGTTCTTCTCAAAATGAGTCAAATGGATACCTGTGCATGAAAAATGTGAGCTGAGGGGACACTGCTGTGCATTCACCGGCAAACAAATAAAGTGCAACTTGACACCAGGGGAAAAAGTAATGTGTCGACTGCAGGAGATAAATCGCCACGGTGTCCTTAAAAACAAATCACCCAGCAGCCACTGCTGCAGAGGTCGGCTTAAACTTCTCGAAGGCGTAAAAACAACCGGGACAGAACGAGCGTCTTCGATTTCTACCGACGAGTCTGATGACAAACGTGATCAATCAATCTCCAAATTACACACACTCATAGAAATCAGTCTTCTTAATACGTCCGAGCTTCTTCATCAAGCTCCGTTAATTAATTCCTGTCGTGGCCCCTGATCCAGATCTGCACCACAAAGTGTGGAGTTCTTCTCTGGACCATTTTAAATAACTTATTTCTGCTTCAACCTGCAAACTAACAAACACAAACAGGAACCTAGTGAAGTAATAAATCTAAAACTAACATCTGACTTTTCTCTGCCATGAGGATGGATCCAGTCTGAATCCACTCGCGGCTCAAATGACTCTGCAGTAGGTTTTTATCGGCTCTGATCGGCAGCGATGGAATCGAGACGCCCGGGGGAACGAGTTATTTTGGAAAGACAGCGAGGTGAGAACAGACGTAACCTCCTCTACTGGATCTCCTTTTTTACTTGAGCTAGTTTACCTAGCGTTTAAATAACCCGCGAACAAAAGAGGTTTCACTTGTAGAAGCTTATCTTGATGTCTTCAGCATTTGTTTAGATCATCTGACACATTTTAGTCAGAATGTGACTAAATGTGTGAGGAGGTCAGTGCAGCCCTGAGGAAGTGAAGCCAAACGTTGCTCACGTCTTTCCTGAACGACCACGTGATGAACACACTCACCTGTGGGTGTCTCTCTCCTTATGATGCTGGAGGAGGAGTGGAGTCTCCCGTCAGGCGCCTCGGTCTCCCAACGACAAAACCTCGGAGCTGAGGAGGAGAAAACACACGTTTGAATTAATACGACTCTCCTCCTCCTCTTCTGCTGCTGAAGAACCTCCTGACATCGCGTTTGTGTTTCTGTGAATCATGAGACAGAAACCACAGAATTTGTCCGTGTCCGTGACGAGATCTTCAGAAGGTCCGTGGCGGGAGTTTTGCATTTGGGGGGGGGGGGGCAATGTCACCTCTGTCTTTCCTCCGCTCTACGTGTGAACAGGAAACCAGGAGCAGAGGAGGACGCTCCATTGTGCCCTCGGGGGAGACACCACCAGCGCTCGGCAGACGCCAGCCACGCCAAGACCACAAGCCCCCACTCTTCTATCTCGCTCCC